TGCACCTAGTTCTTCAGCTCGGTATAATAAAACCTTTACTTACACCAAGTTATTCATCTTGGTAAGGTTGATACCCGTTCCTTTACCGAACTCTTCAGTTCGGTAGACTAAAATCTTTATATTCACCAAGTTCTTCAGCTTGGTAGGGCTAGAGAGTCCATTCCTAACCGAGTTCTCCAATTCGGTGGGCAAATATATCATATCGATAACATCTTTGCATAAAGATCTATAGCAAAGCAAGGGGCCCGAGTGCCCACATCAGTTCAATTCATACTATTATCATCATTACAGACGCAAATCCATCGAACGCGTCCAATTGCACACGAAATCGGGTACCGAATTACCCGACCAGGCCAACCAGGCCCCATTCATATAGCATTTTCATATAGTTGACTATACACGCAGTCGACTCCACTCGTCAGAACAAAAAACATGATTACCGTCAATACGACAGGCCAAAGCCTAAACACGACCAAAAATTTGGCTCCACTGGTCCCAAAGCACCCGACCAACAGTTATACATTATTTATCACAGCTAAATTGGCTATACATGTGACTTCAGAACAGTTCTATTCAGAACATGTCCTAAAGTCAGGGGCCTACTGTTAATACCCAATTTTGGCCTCGCTTATTAAAATATTACACGTGGATACGTAATATATCAGTTGTTTTATTTTATGTTATGGCCCAAAAATAACACCGCTTGTAATGATAACGGGCCCACCAAAAACATATATATATACCCCAATGATGGACGTCATACAGATAGGTCTGAGGGGCCTATTATTACTTTTTTTTCTTCTACTCATTTTCTCGGAGAGAAAAAAGATCTACAGCCTTTGAGCTTCTTTCTTCTTCAATCTTTTTATTAATTTATACAAACATTACACATAAAATTCTTAGAAATCACATATAAACACAATATTCTGAATGCCCCATGTTGATACAAATTCGCATATCAACAGCGACTGGGAGAAGTGATCAATAGAGACTGGAGATGTGGGAAAGCCGACTTTTGAAAGGTGGCTCAAGGTATGAGAAGTACACACCCTTAGCTATTGATCAAGCCAGGGTCTTGGAGGTCATGGAAAGAAAAGTACATGAGGGTATTTGACCTGGCAAAAAACAAGGAAAGAAGGACCTACTCGACCAAAGAACAACATGTACTCTCGATTTTAGAAGAATTATGGACACACAAGGATGATTGTAGGCACCTAACAAACAAGGTTGAACGGCTGATAAAGGAAAGACACGTAAAGGAGTTCATATACAAGGATAGAGAAAGAGGCCCAGGTTGAAGTGAGGAGAAGAATAAGAGACCTATATCATATACATGTTTTGCATAAAAAAAGACAACACCATGACCGTGCGCTCGGGCACATACAATATATCAACACCAATTTTCTACGGGCGTTGCTCTGTCCTTCAGCCTTCTTGTCGCAAGGTATAATAATCAATGTTGTTATTGCTTAGCCCCTCTATACTAAACAATAGAGATCTTCTTGGCCTGGGTGTTGATAATCGCCGATGTTCTTCCTCGATCCATAGAGTTTTTTATGAGAGATTTGATAGTCAATGTTGTGTACAAATTATTTTTATTTTACCGAGCACCGAATCAAATGATTCGTTTC